TATATATATATATAATGTTATGCCTTTAAAGGCTGGATAGTTGAAGAGAAGAATTGAAGATAAAAAGGCATTTTATTACGTAATATGGAGTATAGAAAACAGTGTACGTGGGATATTTACATTGATGGTTTCCCCATTTCTGGGATTGTTTGGATTTGACCCAGATTATCTAGCCATGGAAAATATGAAAAAGACACGCAATTTTGCCTGTCTCGAGCTTATAAAGAGAGGTCCTGAACGGGAAGGCGTTGCAAGCATCTTCTCATCTCAATGAAACGTCATTCAATTAATAAAATTTAAAAGTTTTGATTCGCTAAGAGGATAGCGCCACTCTGATTCTGAAAACTTTTTGAGACTATCTTAATGTGACTTCATCAACTAATTATTGCCCATTAACTTCAGAAAATAATCTTTTATCTTTCCGTATCTGGTTCATCTTGACTTTTTATAGCTCTTTGTGAGAGACCTTTGTGTTCTAAATCTTAAACTTGATAAGAAACATATGTTTTAAGCTTATCAGTTAATATAGAAAGACTCGAAAGAGAAATTCAATGATAAGGTTGTAAGATGCAATGAAATCGTTGACAATACGATAGTTTTAAGTTTCAAGCGCATCCACCAACCAATCAGAAGTGGGAAAGTTATTAAATTGAAAATTATTGTTACTTTAATTATTCCTTTCAAAAACAAAAGCTATAAATCTCTATATAATATAAAATTTACAATGGTCTGGCACAGTTTTCCATTGTTGTTGGTGCTTTTTCATTAAGGGGAAAATAATATGGTAGGATCCAGTTTTCCCACATTAATTTCCATGTAATTTTGGTAGTTACCAGGATAAAATTAACATAAGTCATAAGGTATCGTTTTTCTAAAAAGTATTTTTGTATTTGTTTTTTAAAGAATTATTTTTTTTTATTCGACTCTGCCATTATAAAATTTGATTTTTTATTGTTCTTTATAAATTTAAACTAAGAACTAAAACAATTGTTTCTCTATTATAATGTAATTGTATGATATTACCTTAATAAGCTACATTTTAAGATAAATTCATTTAAATCTGAGTCTGCATTTATTAACCTTATACAACTATAATTTTTGGTGCAAAATTACAATAGTATAGTATTGTAAACTGCAGTAAAAGAGATTTTTGAAATGATGAACATTCAATCAACTTCATCTGCAATGTGATGCCCGCACAAATTATATTTATTTTCTGAATCTGTTTGGTAAACAAATATTAAATGACTGTTGTGCACTCGTTAAATTTGCAATAACAATTTGTTTTTGAATTTAAATGATATTTTTTTTTAAAAAGAAAGGATTGCTGAGAAATATTATTATGTTTACTGATAAATCTTAATTAAATCACCAGGGGAATTTTTGGCCGTGGGAAGTTCGAGTACAAGCGTAAACAAACAGAACTCCTTTAGTAGGGGAGAGTGGGGTCAATTGTAACAGGGTACGATTGTAACAGAGCAAAAATTTCGAGTGTCGGGTTCTAGATTTGGTTCCTAGGTGGCGCACAAGGTGCATTTAATAAATCTACATGTACACCCCTTATGGCAACCATTTTTATGTACTTTTGAAAGAGTTACATCACAAAAGATATTTTCACGCCACGCAAGTACTTTTTTTGGTATTAGAATATTATATTGTAACAAAGTAATTTTGTTTAAACAAATAAAAATTAGTAACCGAATATGTAAGTGGACACCTTAATTAACATTTCAATAAAAAAAAGATTAGTTTTGCTAATTAACTAGCATTGTTTTTAACAAATGAAGCTGAAATGGCGTCTTGGGGACAATTGTAACAATAAGTAAAGGGACGATTGTAACAGCTGAAAATAAATAATCTTATGTTTACAAACCATTACTTAACTCTTTAAGAACCACCAATAGTTTCCTATATCATTTATATTATGTTGCATGTGCATTATTTTATTTGTCACCTTTCACAGCATAAATTAAAATTTTTAACCCCTTAAAGTTAAAAGTTTAACCCTTTAGGTCTCTGCTCATTATTATTTTTACTCCTAAAATATCACTACTATTTTGATCAATAAAAAAATATATCACAACTATGATAATATGTATAATTAACTATGTTTTAGTTGAATTTATGAACTGTTACAATTGACCCCGTAAGTGGGGACAATTGTAACAACTGCACGACTGTCAAAAATTGTTAATAACTAATATAATAATATTTAAAATCAGGTATTTATTTTTTTTCTAGTAGAGGATAGTCTACTTTACTCGTCTGTCAATTAATACTAATAATATATTGGATTTTTTTTTTTAGTTAAAAATGGCTAAGTAAAAAATGTTACAATTGACCCCACTCTCCCCTATACATACTTCAAGTGAATAATTTCTGGAAAAACTGTTTTATGCCAAGAAACGGCACTTATTACAATCAAATAATCTTTACGAATATTACACGAAAAAATATTTCGCCCATTAAAATAATTTTAAATTATAATTATTTTTAAAAAAATTAAAGCAATTATAAGTCTACAGCAACATTTATAGTTTCACTTTCCAATTTTGTAAAGCCTCTCCTAAATTTAAACATAGTTAAAAGTTCCTTAATATATATGTTTAATCCTCCAATAATGTAATCAATTTAAAATAGTTTTCCAGGGATTTTATGTTAATTACTTTCATGCTCGTTAAGAATTTGATGGCAAATTATGTGCCGACCTATTTGTATAAGATAGAAATTAAAATTTTAGAGAAAAATTTACAATTAATTTAAGGGATAATATGCTGTTTATGTTGGCCAATCCAACTACTAAATCTAAAATCAGCAGATTTCATTTAAAAATAAATAATAATAAAAAAATATAATAGCGTCTCTATTTTTTTAAAAATTTTAATTATTTTTTCAAAAATCACAATCAAAAATTAGGTAAACAGAAATTACTTAGAGCATTTTTTGTGAATTTAATCACATCTTTGTTTAAAATATTTAATTATGTCCATCATCATGTGTACGTTTAGAGTAAGAGAGAGATTTTTAAATAATATTTTGTATATAGTCTTTAATAATCACTTCATTCAAAAAGTTCATGTTTAAAAAATGAAATCGAAAAATTCATGTAATCGTAAAGTTCATGTAAAAAATGTATTCTGTAATTAAAGTATTAGTTTCGTTGCATTTAAAGAGATTTATGTGTACCATGCGTACCATGTGTGTAAATTATGTATACCATGTTTCTACATTTCTTCTTATCATGTATTTATTAATGTATTTTAAGTCCGCTTATAATAAAAAACTTAACAATATTATTAGTAATGGATAATACAAAAAAAAAATCACCTGTTTTAACAATGGTAGAAAGTTTAATATTTTTTTCATTAAATTTGACACAATAAATTTTTTTTTAATTTTTAAAAAGGTTGGTGTCGGGTGTGAAGATATCGAAAATTACGTACGTTTTAGGACATAAATGACTGTCCTCGTCCGGTTACGGGAGTGTTCGCTTTGCGGATCGGGTACGTAATAGTTCATCCGTAGAAAATTCATTGAGAATTAAAAATATGTACGTAATGAGAAGCTTCCGTTTTGTTGGAGTGTCTGTAGCCAGAGGTTTCACTGTACTTATAGTTTTAAAATCTCTTGATAACTAATATATAAATGTTTGTTCATTTTATCATATACTAATGTACTCCAAACATTTTTCGAATTACCAGTATTAATAAGCAATCAATTTTAGTAATAACTGTATAACCGACCGGCCTGTGTAGGGGGCAGGGAACTGTCCTTGCATCAGAAAGGTCCTGGGTTTGAATCCCGGGCAAGGCATGGATGTTTCTTTTTCTCTCTGTGTGTTCTATGCCCTTTCTCATTTGTGTGTGAATGTGACTCGCCTTACAAACAGGTTGTGGTTGTGTGAATGGCGTGGCAGAAGTCGAATTCCTGGCCATAGATGGCGCCACTGAAAAAAAGGAACAATCGCAACTCCACTGCCTAAAACAAGCATACGACCAAAAAAAAAGATAATAACTGTATAAATACTACTCATTAATACTAAGTTTATTTATAATACTTATTAACAATGATATTTCTGTAGTTAAAATTGATTTAAAATCATAAATATTCATCTGACCTAAATTATAACGGAAGGCATTTGGGATATATAATAATAGGAAACATTTTTTAATTCCTTAGGCAAGCTTTTTTAAATGTAGAATGCAATATACTTTTCATGAAGGAAATATAATTTTTTTTCCGTATTGATCTGCAAACTACTGCAAATTCTAAAGAATTATAAAGTAATTATCTGAAAAAAAGGCACTTAGAAAAAGTTTCATAAAAAATGTTGCTTTGCATCAAGTTTTTCATTATATTGAAAAGAACCTTCAATTTTTGACTCACAATTTATCTTGTTTAATAGATAAAATATCTGAGTAATATTGAAGCAAAAAGGAAATTCACGTACTTGTGCAGTCAGGGGGTTCATCAGATCCATCAGGGCAGTTTCTGATCCCATCACAAAATTTATTCAGTGGAATGCACTTCAATCCTCGATCCAGGCTATGGCAATTCCATTCTCCGCTACCGCATCGACCACTGTAAAAGTCAGTCAAACATGCGATTCCGATCACACCGATGACGATGAATGTCACCTTAATCGTAATCAAAGACCGTGACATCCATCCAAGTGAACCTGAACTATCAAAATGTTTAAAATCGGGAAGATAGTTGTCTCCAATAACTATCACACTTTATAATTGTGTTTATTGCAATGGAGTTTAACATGTCGCTTTTTCATGCAAAAAATACAGTTATCTTTCGTTAAGACTCAGTTGATATTGTTTTCCTTTAAGTTGTTTGCTGAAGCTGTAGAAAGTATACAAACTTTTTTCTAGCACTAGGTGAAATTTATCTTAATCAACTCCAGAATTAAGAGGTTACAAGTAGGCTTATCAGAGCCGTTTTAAACAATCATTTTTAATCGGTTGACAATACAGTTTATAATGCAATTATAATTTTGAAATTCAGATTTTATATGTTATGAAACCAACAAACCGTATCTTACTAGAAATTTCTATTATATCTAGTAATATATTCCCTAGTGTATGTTCTAGTAATATCTTTTACTTATTTTCACTCTTTTTATGCCATGAAGTTAAAGCAGCTTAATTGCATCACTTCATAAACACTTTAGATATAATGATAGATTTCTTCATCTCACTACATTTTATGCATATTAGCAAGTCACATTCTTCCTTTTAAAAAAGCGTCTATGCATATTTATGGATCAGCCATTTCTTAAAATTCCAAAATGTATCATTAGCACTAGTGGAACTGATAGATGCAAGTACTTTACTTGAAAAAATATTTAGTAGTCACTAAATTCTTAAAAAGCTTCATTAGGGAGATGAAACCATTATTTTTAGATGATGAATTACTTAGTTTAAGCTATATTGCTTCATTATTCTGAGTATTTTCTTTTGATAAATAACTTAAAAAGGAATTTTTTAGCTTTTTAAAATGAATGATATTATTTGCTTATTTATTATGCCAACAGAAATGAGATATATTTATAGTTTCTATTAATCTGAAATTTTTATTAAAAATAATAGAGCGTCAAATTTCAAGAATCTTTAACAGTTTCTTGTGCAATTATTATGTTGAATATTATTATTTAGAAAAAGTGTTTTACGTTTCATTTATATGAACATAGCAATATAAGTAACTATGAGACTAATTTTCCTATTGATGCACTAATATCGATTCAAACACTCTCCTGAAAGCAATACATCTTCGCAATAGTCACTCTTCATGAACATCTCATTCTTAGCAATATGGCTTTTCACCCATTTCTTTTCGTGCCTGTAAAAAAAGTTTAATTGTTACAAATGTTTAGTACTTTTAAAATCTATAAATATAAATATTAAACATTAACGTTGCAAAATATGATGAAAAAACTTTTAAACGATATTATGATTACTTGACTTCAAAAATATGCAGATGGAAATAGTTCCGACAACAGGCGGCAAAGTTGTATGACAGGAGCACAAAAGCTTGTACAAAGAATTAATTGCTTTGACAATGTCTGTAACTATGCAAGAAAATAAGGTAAGTACCAGTAATTTTTTTCCAGTGTTGAGTATGCGATATTGTATTAGCCGCCTAGTTTCTCGATTTAATTTTATTTTTAAAATATTGTGCTATATATATATATATATGTATGTATGTATGTATGTATGTATGTATGTGTGTGTGTATATGTGTGTGTATGTGTGTGTGTATATGTGTGTATATGTATATATGTATATGTATATATATATGTATATATATATATGTATATATGTATATGTATATATATATATATGTATATGTATATATGTATATATGTATATGTATATATGTATATGTATATATGTATATGTATATATGTATATGTATATATGTATATGTATATATGTATATGTATATATGTATATGTATATATGTATATGTATATATGTATATGTATATATGTATATGTATATATGTATATGTATATATGTATATGTATATATGTATATGTATATATGTATATGTATATATGTATATGTATATATGTATATGTATATATGTATATGTATATATGTATATGTATATATGTATATGTATATATGTATATGTATATATGTATATGTATATATGTATATGTATATATGTATATGTATATATGTATATGTATATATGTATATGTATATATGTATATGTNATATATATATATATATATATATATATAAAGCTTTATGTTTTTAAAAATATTAAAAAATTATTAATGCGTATTGGGAAAGAATAAATTAATCTTGAAAACACTTTAATACATTTTGCAACATATTTAATTTCGTATAGCGTATTTTAAACCTCTCATGAAGCAACGGATAATAGCTTGATTTTCTAATCAAAAGGCCAAATATTACATATGTAATGACTACATGAATGTGCGGCCGAATCAGAGAGCTTTCAATCTGGCATGGTGTTTAGGATCGCGTAAATTCCTGATGAATGTTTAACCAAACTAACTATAATGTCTATTAACTATTACAAAACATATCCCTCTGACAGTCCTCTAATAAGAGGATTTGATAGTTAAATCTATTGAGTTGCATCAGTAGAAGTATTTATTATAATCATTAAGTTATTTAATTTGGTATGTATTAAAAGAAAATTCTGAACATTTTATTTTGATGGTGATAAATAAAATAGTTACGGAACATACTTTTTTATTTTTTCTAAAACGTCATTACCGAACATGATTTTTAAAGATACTGTGATTTTTTGGCTGTATGGAGGTCGAGGAGGTAGCCTCATACCAGGAACGTTCCGGGCTCGAACCCCACTTCGGGCATGGATGTGATTTCTCTCTCTCCGTGTACTATCTGTTTTTCTTGTGTTAGTGGGGTGACTTTGACCCATCAATATGGTGCTTTAAAAACAAAATTAACGATACAGTCCGTTAAGTACCACGTGACGCCGAAATTGGTGGGCATTAGAAATATAAACAAATTTTGTTAGCAACTTTAATTTTTTTTTAAAAAAGAAAATTTTTCCGAATTAAATATAGTTCGTAAAATAGAGCAATTAAAATAATGATTTAAAGACTTAACGATTCCAGGAATATAAAAAAAAACGAAACCTCCCTGTAATAATGGAATATATTGAAAAAGAACGAAATTGTATTTAGATCATGAATATTATTATTAATTAAATGATGAATAAAAATATAATTCAAAGTAAATAATAAACAAATTAAGTCTGAAAATGGAATCGAAAGGAATTAATAAAATTAGGGGGAGCATGAAAATTTAAAAAATGTGTTAGTGCAAAGCAGAATAGCAGTATGGCATTAGATTCACTGGTCAAACTACATGAGGTTGATATTGAACAGGTTTCTACCACTAAATTTCGAATAAGGTGGGCACAGTGAAGAAATCAAAGTTAAGAATTACTATAAATGACTTTCAATGTCCAAGCACAGCTTTTAAAACAGTACTGAAAGTTTCCAACTGAAATAACAGATGTCCCTAAGACTATGAGAACTAAACCCCTATGACCCAAAATGTACTGAACGCATGCAGGATATATTGAAGAAAAAAATGCATGAATGAAAATATGATTATTTTCATTGAACAATTTTTATTTTTTTAATTTACTAAACAGTTCAAAAAAACATGTACTTTGCACCCAAAAAAAAGGCTACCCTAAATAACTTTTGATCTAATAATCGGATCATCACTTTCAAGGACTCAATCTTAATGATTCGAGAGGGTAACATAAAATATGCTAAATATTTAGAGCAGACCATATTTTAAGTTACGAAATCTGGCATAAAAACGTACACCCTTGTGCAAATTAATTGAAACAAACTCAATAAATTCAGAAAACTAAGAGAAAATGCTATTTTATTTAAATTTATACAAACTCAAAAATTTTTAGTATATAATATGATCTCCACGACACTTTATTAACATTTGGACACGATTCGGCATGGATTCCACTAATTTTTTACAGTCATTTATAATATTTGTGTCCTTGTACCACACATGAATTAACGCCGTGATTAGCTTCTCCATAGTTGTACAGTCCATATTTAATAGGCGATTCTTGCATATGGCCCAGAGATTCTCAATTGGGTTGATATCCGGAGAGTTCCCTGGCCATTCCAATGTCTCAATTTGATTCTCAGACATGAATTTCTTGACAATTTTGGACGTATGGCAAGGAGCTAAATCCTGTTGAAAAATCCCTGTTCCATCAGGATATCGTTTCTTCAACTCCGGAACAACTTTTTTACCCAGAATAGTAATGTACTGCTCAGAACGTATCATACTGTCAATAGGCTGCAAAGGTCCAACCCCATTGTAACTGAAACAACCCCAAGACATCTTCTTTAAAAAACACGAAAAAAAAAGTTTGTTTCAATTAATTTGCACAAGGGTGTACTTCTCTGAATGAACATACTTTTTTCTCGACTGATTCAGATTTCTGACTCCCAAAATATAGGGGTTGCAGCAATCTGGGAAATATGGTCCCCATAGTTTGGTCAGGAGAGTCTTCCCTGGAATCCTGAATTTTAATTTATTTTACTTTTTGCGTATTTCGCCAAATTTCAAGAACTTTTTAAGCGAATGGAAAAATTTTTGATCACAATTATAAAATTCGTCTATCCGAAGATAATTCCATGCAAAAAATGGTTTTTAGTAAATACGTATTATTGTTCTATTACATTCAATAATAGTCAAACAAATTTCGTATTGCAAGGTAAATAACTTTTTATACCGTATCAAACTATATGCTACACTTCAAAGTACAAAATTTGAGCAAAATCGGTCAAATGGCTCCTGAAAAATCAAAATTTTAATGAAGTATTCGATTTCTCAATTAATGAAGCATTCGACCAATTTCACTCAAGCTTAGTATTTTGCCGTGTAAAATTACCTGCTTTAAAATAATAAAATTTATGCACATGCAATTGAAAAATTTTTGGACTAGTATTAAATAAAATAATAAAAAATTATAAATATTTACTAAAGTTTATTTTTTGAATGGAATAATCTTTAAATAAACAAATTTTATAATTACGTGCAAAATTTTTTCAATTCGCTTCAATAGCTCTCGAGATCTAGTGAAATTTAAAAAAAAGTTAAATCAACATCAAGGGTTTTGAATTTGGATCACTTTCCTGGATTGGAACCATCTCCAATCTGGGACCATATTTCCCAGATTGCTGCTAAACCTTATATTTCAGGACTCAGAAATCCAAAATCTATTGAAAAAAAAAGTCTTTATTCTGAGAAAGTGCGCTTTTGTCGAATTTCGTAACTTAAAATAATGTCTGCGACCCCATCGAATCATTAAGATTGAGACCTAAAATGTGAAGATCTGATTATTATATCAAAAGTTATTCAGGATGTTCCATTTTTTGGCACACTGTATATATGCCTATAAATATATCGAGAAATGGGTGACAAAAGAGTAATTTTGAAGTTTTAAAAATGATTTGCAAGCAAGTATTACACGATAAAAGATACAAGAGAAAGATGCATATACATACCCTCCAACTTATGAGGATTTTAAAAATAATTCTTTCTAGTGGTAGCGAACCAAAGTAGAAATTTTTAAAGCAAATGGATCTCTCATAAAACTTTTATCAGAACTTAAGAATCTAGCCATATGGCCTGCTCCTTAATAAGTAATAGTGGACAAGTTATGCTAAAATTATTTTTTTTTAAATATTAAGACATTAATTTTGCTACCGTCAGAAAAGAAGATTTCTGAAACTACGGAAATTCCGTAGCAGTTGGAGGGTATGCATATAGTGTTAAGAAGATAAATACAAAGAGAACACTTATTTGCCGAAACTAATACTAAGGAAAATATAAAATGAAATTTCTTAATATTAAAGAAGCATTCAAAGATACAGATATGAAAAACTTTTAAATTACCGATGAATAAAAAATTTTAGGAATTTGTGTTAATATTAAAGCCAAAGAAAAAAGATATAGAAGAAACGAATT